AGGAACGTTCATAGCATTGAGTGCCTACATTTTAAAAATCCCAAGTAAATAATCTAATACTATACCTGAAGGCACTAGAAAATGAAGAATTTCAGGATATAGTTATTATCAGAGCTGAAATTAATGAAATGAAGAATAAAAAATTATAAAGGATCAATTTAACAAAGACTTAGTTCTTCAAAAAGATAAATAAGATTGATAACCTTTAGCCAAACTAACTACAAGAAAGAAAAGATTCAAATCAACAAAATTAGAGATAAAATAAGAGACCACCACAGACACTCCTTTTTAAAATATTTTTAGTTGTAGATGGTCACAGTACCTTTGTTTTATTTATTTTTTGATGTGGTGCTGGGGATCAAACCCAGTGCCTCACACGTGCTAGGCAAGCGCTCTACAATTGAGCCACAACCCCAGCCCTATCATTATAGACACTTCTGAAGTTCAGAGTATCATTAAAAACTATTTTGAAAACTTATGCTCCAATAAATTGGAAAATCCAGAAAACATTGACAAATTTCTAGACACATATGACCTGCTCAAATTGAACCAGAAATATATGGAAAATATATTATATAGACCAATATCAAGATTAAAGTAGCAACTAAAAGTCTTCTAACAAAGAAAATCCCAGGACCAGATGGATTCTCAGCCAAGTTCTACCAGAACTTTAAAGAACTCAAACCTGTCTTCCTCAAATTATTTCATAAAATATAGAGGGAGTGAACACTGCCAAATATATTCTGTGAAGCCAGAATAATCCCAATTTGAAAAATCCAAGACACAACAAGAAAAGGAAACTACATACCAATATCCCTGATGAACACAGAAAAATCCTTAATAAAATACTAGCAAATTGCATTGAAAAAGACATCAAGAAGATGGTACACCATAATCAAATAGGTTTCATCACAGGGGTAAAAGTTAGGATCAATATATGCAAACCAGGCTGGGGTTGTGGCTCAGTGGCAGAGCTCTTGCCTAGCATATGTGAGACACTGGGTTCAATCCTCAGCACCACATAAAAATAAATAAAAGTCCATTTTATTTTATATATACACACACACACACCAATAAATGTAATCCACCATATAGATAGAATTGAGAACAAAAATCACATGATCATCTCAATAAATGCAGAAAATCCAACACACATCCATGTTAAAAACACTGGAGAAATGAATGATACGGGGAACTTAAACATTAGGAAGGCTTTATACAGCAAACCCAAAGCCAACATCATACAGAGGTAAACAGAGAAAAACTGAAAGTATTTCCTCTAAAACCAGGAATAAGACAAAGATGCCTACTCTCATCACTTCTATTTAATATAGTTCTTGAAACTATCTACAGTAGTCAGACAAGAGAAGGAAATTAAGGCTACAAATAGAAAAAGAAGAAGTCAAATATTTCTGTTTGCTAATGAGAAAATCAAATAGGACGATATCTATATCCAGAAGACCCAAAATATCCATCAGGCACCTTCTAGAACTGATGAACAAATGCAGCTAAATAGTGGGGTACAAGATCGACATCCATAAGTCACGCCTTCTGTACTCCAAGAGTGAGTGTACTGGGAGAGAAATCAGGAAAATAATCCTGTTCACAAAACCTCAAAAGAACTTGGGAATAAATCTATCCAATGAAGTGAAAGACTCTACAATGAAAATGTAGAAAAGCAAAGAAAGAAATTAAAGATCTTAAAAGATGGAAAGGCCTCCCATGTTCTAGAATAAAGAATTAATATTGTCAAAATGGCCACATTACCAAAAGCAATATATAGATTCAATGTGATCTCCATCAAAATACCAATGACACTCTTCACAGAACTAGAAAAAAACAGTCCTAAAATCAATTTGGAATCATGAAAGATCTAGCATAGCCAAAACAATATCGAACAAGAAGAGTGATGCTGGGGGGCATCATAATACTTGATCTCAAATAATGCTACAGAGCAATAGTAACAAAAACAGCATGGTATTGGCATAAAACAGACATGACTATCAAAAGACTTGATTAGAAAATAGAGAGAAACCCACAGAGGTACCACCTGATACTCCACAAAAGTGCCAAAAACATAGGATGGAGAAAAGATGGCCTTTTAAACAAAAGATGCCAGGAAAATTGAATTTCCTTATGTAGAAGAATGACGCTAGATCCCCGTCTTTCACTCTGCACAAAGGTCAAATAAAAATGGATCAAATAATTGGGGATTAGACCAGAAAGTTTGCATGTGTAGGAAAAACATCAGGACACTACTCCAACATATTGCCACAGGTACCAACTTCCTTAACAAGACCCCTAAAACTCAATAAATAAAACCAAGAATCACTAAGTGGCACGGCATCCAGTTAAACACTTTCTGCACAATATAGGTAAAACAATTCAGAGTGTGAGGAACAAGCCTACCTAATGGGAGAAAAATTTTGCCAGCTACACCTTTGACAGGGGATTAATCTCCAGAAAACTTTTTCCTTTTTCTTAAAACCTTGTCCTTGTTATTGGATTGGCATCAAGAACAAAGACCAAGGTTTGTTATCAAAAGTACCTGAGAAAAATCAATAAATGGAGCCTACATTTATTTGGGCTTGTGTATTCAACAGTCCAGGGTAAGCTGGATCCATTTTGGGGACCTGTGCTGAGGGACACATCACAGCTGAAGAGTGTGGTAGAGGGAAGCTGCTTGTCTCATAGTGGCCAGGAAGGAGGGAGAGAGAGAGAGAGAGAGAGAGACTGGACAAGACAGACTGTTCAAGAATATGCCCCGAGTGACCTAGGGCTTCCTCCAGCCGAGCCCCACAACCTCCCAGTAGTACCACCAGCTGGAGACCAGGCCTTCAGCACACGAGCCTCTCCAAAACACTTAAGAGCCACAGGATCAACCACATAATATATTTTTTTCAATATCCTTTTCTTTAAAACACCCCTTAGGGACGTAAGAAAGCTTCCTTGGGCAGAGGAAGGAAATGTTACTCAGAAGAATCAAGACTCAGACCTGTCCTCAAAGAATTATAATAGACAGTTTTTTGTGATTCAAACATAAATTTATTCTACCCTGTGAAGTTAAAAACATAATCGACCTTTCTCATTCAGTTTCGATTCCCATTTTGGACACTTGGGACCACAAGAAAAGAATCACATTTTTTTTTAACTACTCCAGTCAATGTAAGGGAGACTCTATTGAGGTCCCAAGGCCATACATGGCTTGGGGAGGAGGCCACCCTTTGGGAAAAGGAGCCAGCGGAGCGGTTTTATTGACCTCTTGGGGTGGAGGTGGCTGTGTGGCCACACTTCTTCCTGTGGCCCTTGACAGCCCTTGGGGGCCCAGGCGGGCGTAACACTTGCGACAGCTCGTCTCTCCCAGTTGTACTCTGGGCAGGTTGGCCCAGGGAAGGCGCGATGCTGCCACCTCACAGGTGAAGCACCAAGTGCAGGGGACTCTGTCTTGATGGCTTGATCTGAGGCGCCGCCATCCTCCCGCGTCTGCCTGCAGATACAGATGCAGCTGGTCAGCTGGGGTGTTCTGCTGGTCTTGAATTTTGGCTCCGACATTCTCCATGGTGTCATTGGGCGCGACCTCCAGGTGACAGTCTTACCCATCGGGGTCTTCACAAAGATCTGCATCTCTGTGTCCGCGGCTGGGGAAGCTCCTTGGAGAGAAAGGGCGGCAGAAGCAGCCACGTACCCCATTTCATGAGCTTACTTGACTAGGAGGCCAAACCCTTAGTAAACTGTCTACACAGTGACGGGAACTTGCAGATCCCAAACAAACAGTGAAGACACCAATGTTTTTCAAATGTAGGGCCCGAACACCCTAGAAAGTAATTTCAGAGGCGAACAACAATGGTAGGACCCTGAATGCTTTTGTGTTGGTGGAGTAAGAATGTGGCATACATGACCAAGCATAGTGGCACATGCCTGTAATCCAAGCAACTGGGGAGGCTGAGGCAGAGGACTGCAAGTTCAAAGCCATCCTCAGCAACTTAGTGAGGCCCTGCCTCAAAATGAAATAAAAAGGATTGGGGATGTAACTCAGTGGTGAAGTGTCTCTGGATTCAATCCCCAGTACCAGAAGGAGGGGAGGGAGGGATGCGGGGTGGGGGAAAGAAGTAGAAGGTGGTGGCACACATAAGAGTCTGACAGTTTGATTCCGTACAATCTGTGTTCTAAAGACTGCTGTAATTTTATGCAGGACATTCACCAATTCCTAAAAGCTCTTTATCCGCAATAGTATCACTTAGAAAAATTGAGTTAGAAAATAAACAGTAATAAAGTTTTTACAACTTATTTTCTACTTCTGTGGAAGTCACTTTCTTGCTTCAGCAAATATGGTGGTGGTGGTGGTGGTAAGATAAATAGTGATGATTAGCTGCTGCTGCTAATAAACTCCCACTTATTGAGTTCTAATTGGGTGTCGGGCATTGTCCCAACCAAGCGACGTGCACAAATTCAATTTCATGCCAAAGACTAGTTCATGATATTAACACCCATTTCCCCACTGTACAGTAAAGAGATTGAAATTCTCAAGAGTTAAATAATTTGTCCCTCAAAACAGTCAAGCAGGAATTAAAGATAATGAGTTTGAATATGGAAATCATCTTTAAAAAGAAAGAGAACACTTATCCTGTCACCAAAAATAAAGTTGCTTTATTCAGAAAGTGGAAGAAGAGTTACAGTTGCCCACGTGGTAGAAATTCCTGCCCAGGTGACAGACAGGGAAGACACCCTCTGATGGCACCGAGCGGGAGCATGGCTGCTCTTCCTTCTGCAGGACTGGATGCTGGCACAGCCGGGCACTGTCGTCTCTCAGTTACTATTGGGACATAACAGTCTAACAGGATGCTCCTCACTGTCAGCAGTGATCACAGGCAGACTGTAGGCTAAAGGACAGAGAAGAAGGTTCTGTATGCTTGATAAGCTTTGGAGATGAAGATGTTGCTGTGGAATTAGAGCAGCCAACTTTCCTCGTCTTGTCATGATCTCAATGAATCTTGAAGCTGTTACTTGCTCTTGGGTGGGCACTTCTGCTGGCAGGGAGGAGGAGGCTGCACAGGAGGGCATTTTTGCTGATACTGTCTAGGTGGACATGGCTCCGGACACTTGGGGGGTGGGCATGGCTCAGGGCACTTGGGGGGTGGGCATGGCTCAGGGCACTTTGGAGGTGGGCACACTGGGGGTGGCTGGCAGGGCTGCTTGCACTGATGCTGTTGATAAGACATCCTTCTAGAGTCTCAGAATCTGAAAAAAAAAAAAGATGACAGTGTTCACAAAAAGAGATTCCTACGGAGAAACAAGGCAATGGTTATGTAACATTGGGGACATTATTTTTCTCTCCCCGTGTATGACTTTGTGACTTCTCCCTTCTGTTTTAGTAATCTGTTTCAGACTTGGGGAAACCTCCTTTTATCTCACGCAATTTTTACTAAGAAAATATCTGTTTTAAAGAATTAAATAATGTCATTTGCATGAAAATAAAATCTTTAAGAAAGGCAGTCACAAGCAATCCCTATCATTATCTCATATGAAGTCCCAGTAGGCCGGCTAGGATACAGAGTACAGGGATGTTCTGGAAGAATTCAAGGGTCTCACATCTGAATAGACCTTTAAAAGGGACACTAAAAAGATACGAAAAAGAGAAAAATGCTTCATTCTGTCCTTTTCTTCAAAACAAATCTTTCCTATCATCTTGTTTTTTTTCTCTATGAATATCAAACTATCTACAAGACAAAAACACATCAATACAGTAAATCATTATGCTCCAGGGGTAAATTTCATTAAATAACATCTGTCCCACGATTATAATTTGGACCCACCAAACTCACCGTCTCCAGATTCAATTCAACACTTGATAAGACAAAAAGAAAGAGAAAAGTCAGATAAACTCAAGAAAAGTCAGATGGACTCACCAGGTTCTCCAAAGTGGATCAAGACTCAAGTACCAGGAGTATCCTATCCATCCATCAGAGGACCTCTTTATAAAGCTTGGGCTCCACCCAGGGGGAAGTTGAACTGCCTAAAACTGGGCTGGCCCAACAATTTCCTAACCAAAATGCAAATCCACCTGTAACTGGCTTGGCAGGGGCTCTGAAAACAACTGGGAAAAACTCTGACCCAGGATTTCCTCATTGAGTTCAGTGCTCCTGATACAGAGGCCCTGCCTTAGCCGAGTTTCAGGGACTGGTGGAAGAAGTGGGAGGATTGGAGGATTCTGACTGAGGAGCAAAGTTCCTCTTTCTTGAATGAGGTCAATAATCCCTTCCTGTCGTTAGCCTCCCCCAAAGCTTCAAGCTACCTGACATATTTGCTCCACATTAGCTGGTCAAAATGTCGCAGCCTTTTCCAGCTCCACTTTCTTCATACAATTTGCTCATGTGCTAAACGGAAGAACTGAAAATGACCTGCAGGCTAGTCCCATTATCTCCTTGACAAGCCATAACAAGTCATGGTGACAACCATGGTCACGTCACCTCTCCTCCCTGGGTTTGAATTTTTCTCTCTGAAATAACAGCTGCCTCTCAATTAGGATCATGACTGCACCGGACCATCTCTTGATCCCGTTCAAGCCTAAACCTTTTTCTTTCAATGGGTAGAACCCCAGATTTCTAAACATCTTGGCCTCTTTAAAGCTATCTTCCACTCAAAAAAAAAAAAAAAAAAAGCACTTCTCTCCCAAGAGAGTTTGATTTCAGAGTGGATCCAGACTCCTCGGTATTTTTCTCCCTTCAAAGGTGTGTCCTGGAGCACTTTTATTTCTAAAAATGTATTCTTCGTCACCACATTAAGGAAATGGAAGCAAGTGAACAAAAACCACAAGCATTCATTCAGAATTTACTTACTGAGCCACACCTGTGTGGTCCCCTCGATGTTCACTACAGAATACAACAAGATGTGAGAACCACAACATCATGTAAGTGAGTAAATTTGGAGAGAAGAAAGTCTGAAATCTGACAATAGGACCCCTACATGTCGGTTTTCTCTTTCTTTTCAAATGGTTCCCCCTGCACCCCGGCATTTTTTTTTCAAACAGGTTTTAAGTCTTTGAAAGATAATAGATTTGTTTACACACTGTCTTCTCCATAAGTTCTCCAGCTCCCTCCACCTGCTACATAATCCTGTCACTGCCCAGTGTTTCTCTCTTTTCTGTCCAGTTTGGTGTATTCTGTTCACTTAAGGCGTGTTACCAATGCATTTAGGGACTAGTCCTTTAATCTTTCTTTTAATTCTTCCTGCAATTGTAAGGCCAACTAAATATTACATATTAACATTTAAAGTGTTGTTGCTAGAGTTTCCTTGTGTTGGCCAAATACTCAGGAAACTTTCCAAGAATGCTGTTTTCTAATTGGAGAAAGAACAGAAGAATGAGGAACAGGAAAAACTCAACTTTGAAACAGTCACCAGCTGAGCTCCAGAGAGTACAGGAGCATTAATCAACCTGGAATCCCGTCCTCTCAGGTCAGCAGGTTAGTTAGGTTCCCAGAACCGTGGCTGCTTCTGACAGGAAGGAAGAGCTTGTGGTGAGCACATGCTTTGACACCTCAAAGACATGGCCATGACACCTCAGACAGAGCCATTGCTTCAGCACCTTCAGCCAGGGCATCACTGATGGCTCTTGTGGACCCTCACACTTGCCCAATGGAGAAAGGATACAGTAAGGGACTCTACTCAACAGGTCATGCACTCCCACACTTCACATCACAGCTCAAACATAAATCTGAAAATGTCCAGCTTCCGCCATTCAAAATGTGAGCCTTAGCTGACTCAGTGGGACAACAGTGTCAGATGACACAGTGCGGGTTACACCGCGAGACTCTTCCTCCAAATACATCCCACTCCAAAAAACTGCTAATCCTGAGAGGATAGGCACCCAAATCATGGCAGACCTGAGACATGAAGCATAGCACACTTCACTCACACACACACACACACACACACACACACACACACACACACACACACAATGTGTCTTACCTGTCTGCATCGCCAATGAACTTAGCTTTATGATATTTAAAATTCAATAGCCCTGAATTCAGTCCTAATACTGGCTAATTTTCTAAGGGTTTTTACTATAAACCATTACTATAACAGGAAAGAACAAAATTTTAAATTGTTTTTCTAATTCTTGACTTACTTTATCTCACGTTTTACTACTATATGATTAAAGAAAACATTCCCTGAAAATCAAGATTCAACAATAAAATGTGAAAGAAAAAAAAAATATTAGGAAATAGGAATTATGGCAAAATATTCTTGTCATGTTCAGATAAATAATGCAAGATCCCTTGATTACTGCTTTTGCTTTTATTCCTCAATGTAGGACTCACTCGCCATCGTTCTTTTATAATCTTGCTAAAACAGAAAAATTATAGGACCTATATATGGTGAAAATCTTAAGACCATTAAAGAATGTTTTAGATGATTATTTAATATCAAAAATATTCAAATTATAATAAAAACACTTAAGCATGATGGCATTTTGACTAACATACTCATTAAAAAGATGTGAAATAATGTAACAATTAGTTATTATATCTGGCTGGTATAACAGATGAATTCTGTTTTCTATTTTGCTTTTCAAAATAGTTTCCACCTGATGACTGGTTCCAGTAAATGTGATATATATGCACAATGGAATACCATTTGGCCACTAAAAAAGATAAAGTCCTATCACTTGTGACAATATGGATAGGCCTAAAGGACAATACTACATGATTTCACTCATATTTGGAATCTAAAAAGTTGATCTCATAGAAGTCAATGGTAGAGTGGTTTACCAGAGGCTGGGGAGAGCAGGCAGGTGGAAGAGATTGGGGAAAGATTGGTCTCTGGAGACTAAATGACAGGAGAAATAAATTACAGGAGAAACAAGGATGGAGTAAAATAACAATGACGTGTTGTACATTTCAAAAAAGCTAGAAGAAAACATTCTGAATGTTTTCACCATGAAGAAAGGAGACTCCAAGTTACAGATATGTTTACCCTGATTTCAACGCCACACAAGGTACGTGCATGTTGAAACATCACATGGGACCTACCCCATAAAGATGTATGGTATAATGGGACGTCATTCAGTCCTCAAGAGGAAGGAAGTTCTGATGCATGCCACAACACGGAGGAATCTCAAAAACATTATGCCCAGTGAACAGTCAGATACAAAAAGTTTGTATGATTCCCTTTACATGAGATACCTGGGGTTTTTGAACAATTAAAATAAATAGTAATAGAAAGAGGATGCATGCAGGGGTTACCAATGGCTGGAGGAGGAGGAGGAATGGGAAGTTACCATTTAACAGGCAGAGTTTCTGTCTGGGGTGATAGGAAAAGGTTCCAGAAATGGACAGCGGTGATTGCTACATGGCACTGCAAATGCGTGCACTTAATGCTACTGGATTGTGTGTTTTAAAAATGATTTTTAAATGAAAAATTGTGTTATTTTTCCATGATGAAAAAAAGATTTTAAAAACTTAATACAAAAGGGATTAGAACATTAAGAATTTTCCATTAATGGCTTTTACTTATGGAGAGATTAGTATACTTGCTCAGAATATTAAAATTTATTACAAAAACTATCCTCTAGAAGCAATAGAAATATTATTTCTATGTTACAGAAATTGAAAAAAGTAGTTTAAAATGTCTCATCAGGAGAATATGTTAGGCCCCCAAATTAATTTCAATGAGTAGCTTTTCTGCTGATGAACTCCTACTCAACAAATAAGAAAAACATTGTGAAAAATTTTTAAGTAAAAGGCATAAGAATTTTTTCACAGATAAACAAATGGCTAGTATATAATGTGATACTCAAACAAAATAATTTATACAATATGAATCAAGAGCATGATGAGATTTATTTTTACCAATTAAATAAATATAAAAAAGTTAAATTCAGTCATGTCAAATATTTAAAAGAATGCATTAGTGGGATATTTTTGGATTACTCATCGAGTGTGAAATAGCTTAGCCACTTGGGAGAGAAATAATGACTCATAAATTTAGCAAACACATTAATATTAATTATAACTCAAAATTTGACTCCTCAGTATATTTATAGGAAAAAATATTTGCCTATGTGGAAATATTTCATGTCATCATGATTGTAAGAGACAAACCAGAAGCAACTTAAATTCTGTTAAGAGTATAATGTGCTATAGTCATGTGATAGAAATCATTTACAATTAAAAAAAGATAAACTACAGTACAGTTACAGGCAATAATATGAACAGAT